AGAGGGAGGAGAGATGGAAGAGGAGAAGGAAGAGGGAGGAGAGGAGGAGGAGGATATTGGAGAGGGAGAAGGAGAGGAGGAGGAGGATGTAGAAGAGGAAGGAGAGAAGGAGGAAGATGTTGGAGAGGAAGAAGGAGGGAAGGAGGATGTTGGAGAGAAAGAAGGAGAGGAGGAAGAGAATGTAGGAAAGGAAAAGGGTGAAGGGATGAGATGAAGATAATGAAAGAGAAGAAGGAGAGGAAAGAAAATAAGACGGAGATTGAAGACGAAGAATAATTAGAAGAAAAAGAAGAGAGGAAAGCGAGAGTGAAGGAAGAAAAGAGAGGGGAGAAGGATGCAAATAATTACAAGAAAAAGGAACAAGAAAATAAATGAGAATAACAGTTGACTTTTTCATGGTTATTTTTCTTTATCAATATTTTCATAATCATTGGCGTTATTCCTTAATGCGAATCAGCTAACGTTTTATTATCAGTATCACTGTTGTTGTTAGATTATTCTATTATCATTATTATATTATCATTTGTATAACTATCAGTAGTACTACTTTTATTATTATTATTATTGTTATCATCATTATTATTATTATTATCATTATTATTATCATTGTTATTATCATTATTATTATTATTATCATTATTTTGATTATTATCATTGTTATTATTATTATTGTTATCATTTTTGTTGTTAATATTACTATTATTGTTATTATTATCAGTATTATTACAACTGTAGTTGCCATGAGCAATGTAGAATGATCACTGCCATTATTATCTATAATTTTTTGTTATATTTTTTATCACTGTTATTTCTCACTGTCAAATATGCCTTGTTTATACTTTTATTGTTATCGTTATTATATTTAATTATTCATTTCCTTTATTATCATCCTTATTGTTATTCTCTAACGCAAAAAAAACACTGCCAGCTATTTTTAATCTATATTTGTATTATCATCACTTGTGTTCACTAGTGTTATTTATATAATTTATCGTTATTCTCAAATTCCAACCAGTACCATTATTTTTTGCCTTTCCCTTCTGTCATCGTTAATTACACTGCCGAATTAGTTTCAAATTGTGTTATTGTTTCAGTTGTGTTATTAGAGTCGTTATTTTCAGTTGCTGTTGTCATTGTTGTTATGATCTTCTTCTCTGTTATAACATCAATGAAGTCACTGTGAGTTGTGATTGTTATGAGGATAAATGTTTTTTCTTTTGTGCATTTGCTGTTTGAAAGATGATATTAAAGCTTGAATGAAGTAAATTTCGTGTGTTATTCTCACCGTGAAATGATCACTTACAATATTTACATGTATGTACATATATATACATATAGATACATACATATATACATATATGTTATTATTATTATCATCATTATCATTATCACTATTATTATTATTATTATCATTAATCTTATTATTTCTATTATTGTTATTCTTACTACCATTATTATTATTATTATTATTATTATTATTATTATTATTATTATTATTATCATCATAAACATTATTTTTAGTATTAGTATTATTACCATTATCCTTTTTATTACCATTATTATTATAATTATGATAATTATTATCATTATCATCATCATTATCATTATTCTTATCATTCTCATTTTATTTTTATCTTTATTATGGTCACTATTATCATCATAATCATCATTATCATTATTGTTATTGTCATTATTGTTATTATTCTCATTATCATTATAATCATCATTATCATTATTGTCATCACTATCATTACTATTATTATCATAATTCCTATTACTTTCATAATCACCATCATCATTACTATCACTTTTTACTATCATCGTCATCATTATCATAATTAAATGACATCAACATCATCATTAACATAACCACCATTGTTATCACGATCATCAATATCATCATCACTATCGTCTCATTTAAATTCTGCAACATAAACAAAAAACATTCAACGCATTCTCCTTGTCAGTAGCTAATTCATCAACTTTCTGATGAGGTAGAAAGTAGCTCATGAATCAAAAGTGTTGCCAGATCTAGACCGCGTCTCATTAGAGGATCTGAGACGATTTCCATAGGCTTAGGAATGCGATGCGATGCGATTCGATTTAATAAGGGAAAAAAAAGGTATAAGGGGGTAGGCATTTTCACGTCGGGTTTTGCGGATGGGGAAGAGGGAGAGAGGGAGGGAGAGTGATTAAGGAGGAAGAGTGGATGGGAAGGAAGGAAGGAAGAGAGAAAGAGAGAGAGAGGGGGGGAGAGAAGGAGAGGTGGAGGGAAGGAGAGAGGGAGGGGAGAGAGAGAGAGAAAAAGAGAAAGAGAGAGAAGAAAAAAAATAAGGAAAAAGAAAGAGATTGAGAAAATGGGTGTGGGTTTTTTTTACAAGAAAAAAAAAAGATAATGAAAAGAAAATTAATTAAAAAATAGAGACAGTACGGTAGGATAAAGAATAGAAAAAAAACAATAGAGAGAGTGAAAAATCAGAAAGAGAACGTGAGAAAAGAA